TAAGTATTGTCATCTCCATATTTGTTTTGACTTAGGTTAATATTTATCTCCTAAAAGTGACAAGTTCCCCACTGCGCCACACAATTCATGTTAGAATATTTCTTCACTGTATGTGTAACGTCTATAAGAAGATTCATGTGACAAATGATTTGGACATTGCTAAAAACAGCAGCAGTGCAGCAATAGGGCCATAGGCCATGATCACACAATTATTTGGGAGGGGGGAGAGTGAGGATGTGTGTTTCTCAAGCTTCTCATTGGTTGAGGCATTTTTCTGACAGAGTACAGTAGTAATTCTTTTTATCTATTTCAGGTATTTCCAAGCTTCAATTGACTTTTTCAAAAGGGGCCTTCATCAATTTAAAGCAAGTTTTATGAATACAAGATGATATAATGTTTAATGTGTAATAAAGTAATTATTGTGTCTGAGCAATCGAGAAAGTTTAGTAAGAGAAGTTGTATGGCGTTCCAGGAATTGCATCAACAAGACTATATAATCTCAGCCTGACAAGATGCATTAAATCATTTAAGTTCCATGGATGCAATGATTTGTATTGATAGAGATTGCTTCCAATTCTTTATGAAATGTGAAAATTAGGAAAGATATTTGGGCTTGCTTATGTCCTAATTTATTTCCCTAGTTAAAAAATCTTACCAACCAGAAAGGAAGCAGGTTAAGAATGAATAAGCATGCTGTGGTAATGAACTATTTGCCTTGTAACAGTTCTGGCTCCTTTTCGCATCCACGTACAGAGTTTGCTATAGATGAACTCCTTGACTTAACCTGATGGTACACATTCCCCACATTGCTAAGTTATGGATATTCAGAGACATGCCAGGAGAGTGTCTGGTGTTCCCTTCAACTGAGACAAAAACGTTTGACACATTCTGTCAGATGACTCAGGCATTCTAGGATGCCTTAAACAATGTCAAACAAAGGCAACAGCAAAAGCTGGGGATTGGGTGGGGAAGTGGAGTTTTACAAAACAATTAAAAATGAATTTAAGCCTGTCACAAGACTTTTCAAACTTTCTCATATCCTACTTCCTAAGTTTCTGACCCCATAGGAAAACCATCAGGAGAGAAGAATTCTGTCCATTTTTTGGGGGTGGGGTAGTGGGGTGCAGGTAATCAGGGCCTGGCAATTTGTCTCTCTCCCTCTATAGTATAGTGCAGCATTTGTATAATTTATTTCTTCATGCATATTTCATCATTATTAATCATCATAAATAAGGCAGTCACATCTTTTAATGACACAGGGGATGAAGAAATAGACTGTGTCAATGTGTGACAGAGCAGTTATCATCATCATTAGGGGGATTTATTATTTTGGGAAAAAGCAAGTTAAAAGACTTAGCTCAGTAGTCAAAAGTGCAATTCAGGTTTTATTGTGCAAAAACCTGAAAGTGGAAACGGTTCTTCTGAAGCTGTTTAACATACATGTAATTCAAACAACCTCTTTAAAAGGCCTTCAGTGCATTCATGCACGAACAACAAAGTTCTCAGCCCAAGTTATTCTTTCAAGCTTCATAGTTGAAGCACAACATGAATACCTTGCCATAGGAACCCGCTGAAGCAGCAAACACGGCGCTTGGTGTCTCTCCTTCAAATAACAGGATTCTGGGGAATTCTCCTATTGCTCCCTTCAGAGACAATTAATGGTTTTGAATACACCTGGTGATAATCAATTCTGGGAGAGACCTCAGAACTGCAGGTCATATTTCACTTTGGACTGGTACAATACCCAAATAACAGGATTTTAAAATGAACTCTGTGTGTGTGTGTGTGTGTGAGTGTGTGTGTGTGTGTGTGTGTGTGTGTGTGTTTGTGTTCATGCCCAAAAACTGTCCCTGCTTCCTTTGGCCGAGGAAATAACAATTTGCAATCTAAGGAGCTTCAATATATATATCACATGAATGTTACATTTTACTTTTTTTAAACGTCAATTTAACTAATTCATACAGAAGGAGGGAGCGAACTTAAGAAAAGCCCATGCTAGACAAGGTGGATTGGTTCTCTGGATCTTACCTGGTGAGATGGGCTCCGTGGGAAGAGGGTCAGCACACATCAAGGACTGGACTCAAGCTCAGCATGATTTCAGGTGCTTTTGATTTCTGGTTAGGGTCATAATTGAAGAATGGAGAGAATATATCATAAGTTTTGTAAGATGATTTCAAACTCTCTTTTTTTAAAAACACAGTTCTCACTTAAAATGTAAATGCATATTTCCTAGTGCACTGCATAATAGGGTTTACTCTAAATCAATGCTCTCAACCCTAGTGAACATTAGAATCCCTCTGGGAGCTTTTAAAACAGTTGGAATACCTGGACCCACCCAGTATTGGATTTTAATTGATCTGAGGTGAGGCTCAGAAAAAATTTAAAAGCTTTCCAAATGATTCTAATGTGCTGCCAGGGTTGAGAACAACTGCTCTAAATAGTTAGAGTAAGTATGGAAATTGCCTTGATTATTTTTGTAAGTATGTTTCATGCAGTAGTCATGAGACTGAGAAAGGGAAAGTTATCAGGTACACATCATGACATTTCAAAGCTGAATTTGGAAAGGTTTGAGAGAAAGAATGATTTTGTTTTTGTAGTTCTTCTTTTCCCTTGTCTTTTCAAAATGAATACACATGCAATATGTGCATAAATGTACACACAAATGGCATACACAAACAATCTACATGTCATCTTTGCACCTTAAACAATTATCATTTTTTCACAGGAAATCTGTGAAAATTTTGTAGTTTTCTCCCTTCCTTCCTTCCTACCTTTCTTCTTTCCTTGCTACCTTGTTTCCTTCTTCCTTTCCTCTTTCCTTGCTTCTTTCCTTCCCTCTCTCCCTCCTTCCTAAAAATAAGCATGTAAGGAGCATCAAGCAATTGATCAAGAGATGGAAAAAAATCCCATCCTACAAAAAACAGAGGGATATTGGCACTTTTGTTTCTGAGTATATTAGGTACTGAGGATAAAACTCAAGCCCTGTTTACTAGGCAAGTACTCTACCAGTAGAGCCATTCCCTAAGTATGTTTTTAAATTTTATTGTAAGATGGGTTGTTAAACTTCTGCCCAGACTGACCTTAGAACATAATCGTTTTACCTATACTTTCAAAGTTGTTTGGATTGTGGGTGCACAGCATTATGCCAGCAATATTGACACAATATAAAGTCAGAACCACACACAATATCAACATACCTACCCAAGAATTCAAGTGTCAGACCGCTGGAGGGTAGAGGCAGCTGAGAAAAGCCACTTCCTTATACATCACCTGTCCCAATAGTTCTTGGGGGCACTGGCCCGAAACTGCTCAAACTTGCAAAACAAGTTATTTGCTAAAAGTTCCTGCTAACCCTGGCCATATAAACACTGCCACAACCAGACTCTGTGTGACCTCTCTGATCCTGACCAGGGAATTTGCCTGGGAGCATACCCCACCAAATTTTATTCACCTTTACCTCCTCCTTCATGTCCTTTCCTCACCTAAAACCTTATATCTGGTGCCGAAACCCAGGAAGGTGGTAGTGCTTCACTTTGCTGTAGGGTGATCGATGGGCACTGCCCCTTCTTGGCCTCTCTCCTCCCTTCCTCCTTGCCTGAGGTCTCCTCCATAGAGAGCACAGAGCCCACTGAGCTTACTTTGGGCTGAACAGGGACTTGAAAAGACCTTGTGGCCTTTGCTTATGTAAGCAGTGCATAGCCCATGGACAGCCACCTAGTGGCTTGGGGTATTACTGGTTATCTGTGTAAACCCAGTGGAGGCCTCTCTCTCTCTCTCTCTCTCTCTCTCTCTCTCTCTCTCTGTCTCTGTCTTTCTCTGTCTCTGTCTGTCTGTCTGTCTGTCTGTCATTGGACCAGGACCTCAGCCTGGCCTTCTGTACATCCACAGTATTCAGATTGGGTGAGTCCCTACCTTTTGTCTCAGGGTCCTGTCTTGCTTTCAGGGAACTTGGCTCTTCTTATTTCCTTAAAAGTCATGAGTTCATGCCCAAGTCTCCCCTGCCACCCCTGCCTTTGGCCTTGGGCTGAGAACAATCAGCGATGCCTGGTCTTCTCTGTTGTCCCCGTTTTTGGTAACTCTTTGGCTAAGACAAGGATGCCTTCTTCAAGCCTTAGTTTTTTTACCCCAAGTTGCCTGGGCACCATGGGAAACAAAAATTCCAAACTGGACCCACATACTCCTTTGGGTTGCTTATTGGCTGACCTCAAACCTCTAGGCCGAACAGAGAATGGCCTATGCACCAGCTCGATAACCAGTTACCCTGGCCTGAAAATGGGACGTTCAATTTCAATATATTAACCAATCTCCGCAATTTCTGTGAGCGGATGGAAAAGTGGGCTGAAATTCCTTGTGTCTAGGGATTATTCTACTCATGCTCCCGTCCCTCCCTCTGTCTCTTCTGCCCCCATCTCAAATCTTGCTCATGCGGCAAGATCTCCCCAAAAACTCTCCCCCTTTCTCTTCCTCTCCTGACCCTCTTGACTTGCAGTTATCTTTCCCACCTGTGGTACGTACTTCCCCCACCTTATTTGCCACCTAACCCCACATTAGGACCTAATCCACAAACCCCTGTGCCTGCTCTGTCCTTAGGTCTCTCTTCCCCTGTTGCTGGCCATACTCGTGCCCAGACTAACTAGGCAGAACATTTGCTTCCCTTGCATGAGGAGGCTGGGGCAGAGGCCTGGTGAGAGTCCATGTTCCCTTTTCATTAGGGGACCTATCTCAGATTGAGACTGGCTTGGGGTCTTTCTCCAATGAACTGCCCACCTCTGTCAGGGAGTTTCATTATCTGACCCAGGCCTATGATCTTACCTGGCATGGCCTCCATGTTATACGCTCCTCCACTCTTACCGTAGAGGAGCATGAATGAGTCTATCAGGCTGTCCAGGCTCATGGGGGCGAAATCCATCTTACAGATGTTACCTTGCCCATGGGAACTGAGGCAGTCCCTAGACAGGACCCACACTGGCAATATCAGATAGACACAGCTGAGGGTCGCAATGGCCACATGTGAACAGGTAAGATGAGTCAGTGCCTTTTGGCTGGCTTACAGGTGGCCTCCCATAAGGTTGTTAACTTTGACAAACTGCAGGAAATTACTCAACTTTGGGATGAATCCCCTGCTGCCTTTCTAGCTAGACTTACTGAGGCCGTGACCAAGTATACCCTCTTGGACCCCACCTTTCCAGCTGGGGCAAGCTTTTTGGCCTCTCATTTCATTTTGCAGTTAGCCCCAGACATAAAGAAAAAAAAAACTTAAAAAGGCTGAGGATGGCCCTCAAGCTCTACTCTATGACCTGGTAAACAGGGCCTTTAAAGTTTTCCAGGCCCGTGAGGAACAGGAAAAGGCTGTTAGTGAAGCCTGCTTTCACCAAAAGGCGCTTGGCCTACCAAGCCCAAGCTCTGGTCTCTGCCCTAAGGCCCTCTACAATGTGCAGCTCTGGAGAAAAGCATCACCACCTGGACCCTGCTTCAAGTGCAGCCAGGAGGGGCACTGGGCAAGCCATGCCCTAAACCTCGTCCTCCCCAGGCACCATGTCCGCTGTGTAATCAAAAGGGACACTGGAAGCCCAACTGCCCCTCTGTGCCTAGCCATGGAGGTACAGTCCTTCCCTTCCCTGACTTGCTGCTTTCGGTCCTGGGCCTGTCCGCTGAAGACCAAGGATGCCCTGCTTCACCAACTGATCACCCTTGTCCAGGCTAGGGTAAAGATCCAGGTAGCGGGTAAGGCCATTTCCTTTGTGGCTGATACGGCGTCTACCTATTTGGTCCTCCCTTCCTACTCAATCCTCTTAGTTCCTTCCCAGGTCTCAGTTATGGGAATTGATGGAATTCCCTCCTAGCCACTGGCAACGGGCCCTCTTACGTGCCTGATATATGCAATGAAGGTAGAAGAGGAATGAGACCCAGCCCTGCTCTTAGCCTTAAAATCTAGCAAACTTCTCCACCCAAGTGGTGACTTGTGACAGTTCTGAGATAACCTAGTTCTACAAGTCAAAGGAAAAAATGGGCAGTTTCAAACCCTAGCCAAGGAGGCCCTTAAGTTAACCTTGGGGTCCCCACTAAATGTGCCTTTCTTCAGGACTTACTAGGCCATCGTACCCTAGACCTTCTGTCTCTTTCTCGCTTGCAGGAGATTCATCTCCTATTTATTGAAAACCCAAGTGTTTCACTTTTTCAATCCCCTAAGCTCATTCTGATACTCTTCTTCCCTCCACTTCCCTAGCTGATCCCTCCTTGTCTGAACACTCATGCCCTGAATTAGTGGAGTCCCTTGCCTCCCTGGCTGGACTTACTGACCAGACCATCCCTGACTCTGATCTGGTTCTGTTTGTGGATAGCAGCTCCCTGGTGGATCCATATGGAAAGAGACAGCCTCCTATGCGATTGTTTCCAAAGGAGGGGAGGTATTGGAGGCCCAGCGCCTCCCTAAGGGAACAATGTCCCCAAAGGCCGAACTACTGGCCCTCATTAGGTCCCTCTACTTGGCAAAAGGGAAAAGGGTAACTATTTATACTGACTCTAAATATGCCTGCCTCATTGTCCATTGTCACATGGCAATCTGGAAAGAACTGGGGCTCTTTTCTACAAAAGGGAACCCTATTGTTAGTGCCCACCTTATTTTAAAATGAATTCAGGCCCTTTCCCACCCATCTGCTGTGGCTATCGTCCATTGTAAAGGACATTAGACAGATGATTCACTTGTTTCCCGATGTAACAATAAGGCCAATGCAGTGGCATGCCAGCTCACTCAACAGTCAGTGGCTTTGGCCCCCATTTTATTTTTATAGGTCCCAGATTCAACTCCTCAGTATTCCCCGTCTGAAAAAACTCTTCTCTATGAGAAGGGTGGCAGGGATGGAGAACAGGGATGGATCCTTGTGGGAAATAAGTTGGCCTTGCCTCTGGCCCAGACTACAACCTTCATTCAGCAGGTTCATGCCACACTTCATATTGGGCCCAAGGCACTGTTTCAGTTTTTATTTTATTTTATTTTATTTGTGAACATACTGTACAGAGGGGTTACAATTACGTGGGCAGGATAATGCGTACATTTCTTACCAAGCATTGCAGCCTCCTCTTTTGTTTACCCATCAGCTCCCTTCCCAGCCTCCCCCCTCCCTACCCACCCAATCCTTCCCCCACTCCCCCCCCCACCGACATTGTAAAGCTCGTTTTTGACATGACAATTTGCACTTCTCATTGTTGCAACAGGTCCACCTGAATCCTTAAACAACTTGTTTTTCCCCATCTCCTCCACAAGTTATACTGACATCAAATATAGTGAAATTAAAGCTACCAGCACAACTATGTTTATTGCAGCATTATTTACCATAGCTAAGATATGGAAGCAACTCAGATGCCCTTCAGTAGATGAATGGATCAAGAAAATGTGGTATATATACACAATGGAATTCTATGCCTCCATCAGAAAGAATGGCATTGCCCCATTTGTTAGGAAATGGAAAAACTTGGAAAAAATTATATTAAGTGAAGTAAGTCAGGCCCAAAGAAACACAGGTCCCATGGTTTCCCTTATTTGCAATATGTAGTATATGTATGAGTCAAGCGGAAAAGGTCAGATAATGTGATGTTAGATATGTATTTTAATGTTTTTTCCTTTCATGCATGTGTTTCTAACGCATTTATAAGATTATTATCACCCTCAGCTTTCCACCATAATTGAGTCTGCCTCTCAGGGATGTTTTACATGCTCCACCACCACCCCTCAAGGGGAACTCAGGCCAGCCTTTATAACCCACCAAATGCAGGGCTATTTGCCTGGACAAGGCTGGCAGGTGGATATCACCCATATGGCCACCCACAAAAGGATGAGGTACCTTCTTGTCCTAGTAGACACCTTCATGAGGTGAGTTGAGGCCTTGCCAACTCCCAAAGAGATGTCAGGAGTTATAGCTTTATTTTTACTTTCAGAAATTATTCCTCATTTTGGCCTCCCTTCTTCCTGTCAAGCTGATAACGGCTTGGCCTTTATTTCCCAATAGCACAACAGGTGTCTTTGGCCCTAGGACACAGCCTAGTCTCAGCTCAGGAACTTTCAGTTAAACCCCAGGTAGCCATGAAATTCACATTGGTATCTCTAGCCTCACTCCAGTGCCAACTAACCTTCCTGGCACAGATTGCTCCAAGCCATGGACCTCCTAATGGCTGAAAAGGGTGGGACCTGCCTATTCTTTTTCTTTTTTTTTTGATCTTTTTTTATTAATAAGTTTTTTTTATTGTGAAAATACCGTACAGAGGGGGGTTACAATTGCATGAGCAAGGCAATGAGTACCTTTCTTATCAAGCATTGTTGCCTCCTCCTTTTTTTCCCCTTCTTATCCCTTCCCATCATTTCCCCCCACCAGCCAAAGTTGTAAAGTTTGTTTTTCGACATAACGACTTGTACATCTCATGGTTGCTATGGCTCTACCTGTATGCCTATTTAAACAATTTGTTTTTTCCTTCCTCTCCACAAATTATACCAGCATTAAATACAGTGAAAACAGGGGTTGTACCATTGGGGAGGGACATAAAAAGCAATGGAGAAATAATCTTTAATTATGTTAGAAACAATAGCAAGAAAGAAAAACCATCTGAATCCCTATCTTGGGGTTCAATTCGCCTAACATCAACTTATTTTCTTGCGGGAACAATGTTGCTATTACATCAATGAGTCAGGACTGGTAGCACAAACTATTGAGGCCCTAAATAAGAAAAAAAGGAGCTCAACCATCAGCAATCTGGGGGACCTATTCTGGACTGGTTCCATGGATCCCTTGCTGGGTGGTTACTACTCTTAGTAGGCCCATTAATTTTAATTTGTCTTTTCTTTTTATTTTCCCCATGCCTCTTGAGGTTCATCCAGAACTGCATCCAAGAAATAACCAACGGGATGGTTAATCAGCTTCTTCTTCTCCACCCATACATTCACCTGCCAACGACCCCTCAGGTATCCTAGCCAACTGGCATACAGCTCCATGACATCCCTGTCCAGCAGGAAGTAGCCAGATGACTATTGTCACCCTATTATCAAAACAAAAATGCTGGAATGTCAGGCCGCTGGAGGGCAGAGGCAGCTGAGAAAAGCCACTTCTTTATACACCATCCGTTCCAATCATTCTTCAAAAGCACTGGCCTGAAACCACTCAAACTTGCAAAACAGGTTACATGCTAAAAGTTCCTGCTGACCCCAGCCATATAAACCATACAACCAGACTCTGTGAGCCCTCTCTGATCCCAACCAGGGAGTTCACCTGGGAGCGTACAATAAACTTGTCTTTTATTCACCTTTACCTCCTCCTGCATGTTATTTCCTTGCCTAAAACCTTACAGTAAGGAGGTCATGTCTGGCCAGGGCCATATTGGCCACATGGTAGATTGTAGGGTCTGGCATCTTGTCTTCATGCTGAGGGAATGAAATGCCCCCACCTCTCCTGTGATGGGCATGCCCAGAACCCTGGAGGCAGGGATAGGCACATGGCTGGTAGGTTGCTGAATCAGTCAGTCCAGGGCCTGGGACTGGGGATTTCCTATGGACCTGTCCCCTGCTCAGACTAGCTCAAACGCCATACCACATGTCTCCATGGTTCGTCCTATGTCCTGTCTTCTAGCTCAACTCCAGTCATCATGGCATCTCAATTCAGCAAGCCATCAGAGCTGAATTGGTTTGTTGGTATTGTTTTTGTTGTTTCTTTTGCTCTAGCCTGTTTCCTAACTGTGTTAAGTGTATTTGGGGACTCCAGGCCTATGTAACAACTGGCTGCCTACAGCCTGCTAACGTTATAATAAAGATTCCAATATTCCAACCTTTCAAAAAGTGGCTTCTGGAATAATTTCACCTTAAAACAGATGAAGTAAGGAACTGCAGTAAATATGAAAGCAAAGGCATATTTCCATCTAAATAATGCTAGTGATTTATGCAATGACCATAGAAACGTTTTGTCTGAATTATTTTTGTAATTTAGTGTGTTTTTGAGCAAGACAATCTTAACAGCCAAAACAAGATGAAGGATAAAGCAAGATGAAGGATAAGATAATGTGTGGTTCCTTTTGGGAGAAGAAACTTTCTAGATTTGCCTAGAAGAAAAGTCTCTTGGAAATTTTGGAGTCCAATTACCTTAATTTTATGAATTAGGAAATTGCGCCAATGAGTTTTATGCTCCTCTTGTCCTTAACTTTATTGTACTGAGAACAAATGTAGTAGTTTCTGTAATAGATAAGAGTAATGTTTAAAAGTTTGGAAAGTATTCAAAGTTAATTGAATTCTTTTTTTTTTTTTTTGTCGGTTGTGGGGCCTGAACTCTGGGCCTGGGCGCTGTCCCTCAACTCTTCAGCTCAAGGCTAACACACTACCACTTGAGCCATAGCACCACTTCCAGCTTTTTTCTGCTTATGTGATGCTGAGAAATCAAACTCAGGGCCGCATGCATGTGAGTCAAGCACTCTACTACTGAGCCAACTTCCCAGCTCATAAATTCTTTTCATTCTGAGTTTAAATTCAAGGAAATCCAAATGACACTGAATTTTGTCCCTTCTGATAGATGTTTTTTATTACACTGAGTAGGAAAAGAGTGAATATATATGTCTATAATGTTTGAGGATTCTCATATCAACAAAATTATAAAGTATTTGAAAGTCTCTTAAAAATCCATGATATATGAATGTATTACCATGTAATTATCTGGAGCTCTGCACCTTGAAAAAAAAGTGAATGCAAGTAGCTGTGATTAGACTCCATTATACATACCAACCTTTTACAACACATTGGATTTCAAATGGAGTTTATTGTAATAAATGCTTTTACAAAAATGTATATAAAAAGTAAATATTTGATTTAAAACTATGATGCTAAAATGCATTTATTCACAAATATGTTAAATACTATATTCTAATCTCTAATAAATACTAAAATAAAAACAAGATACATTTGAGGCTGTGCTAATTTTCCTGTTCATTAATACTAAAATGTTCCAGTCTATGGAACTATATTTCACCCTCTAGTTAACATTTTAGTGTCAAATAACAGGAAGTTCAACTATATTGTTACCATAGTGAACATTATTCAAAATATTTTAAACCATGCATATCCAGGCAGGAGCTTTCATTCAACAGCATGAATAAAAGATACATTCATATTTACCAGTAAGATTTGGTCAAAAGAAGATTAAATCTTCTGATAGACATTATTTCTTAGTGTTCCAGAATAAGAAATATTCAGAAATAAGAAATATTTAGAAAGCTGTAATGTAGACCAGTGAAATAGAATCCATTTTGGAGGGCAAAAATAATGTGAAAGTGAGACCAAATGTTTCCACAGTCTCTGAAATACAAACACAGACATTTGCTACTCCAGTATAGTCTAGATTTTACATGTGTCCAGTGCTTACCAGATCATGAATTATTTACATAGACCCAAGTGATCATTTGATTTAGACACAACTGAAGCCTTTTTAGTATTCTTTGAGTTAAAAAAAAAAACTTTAAATGGACCAAGATTCTTGGCTAATTTCTGTGCCTAGACCTTTGGGACCATTTTGTAATGTACAAGCCTAATAGCCAATGGGAAGGCTAGAAGAAGATTTGCTGCTAGAAGGAATCACACTGGAATTGTTCCCATTCAGATCTTAGTTTGAACCACTTATTTTATTAGTAAGATTTAACACACTGCCTAAATTATTTCATCTTCCTACAGCTGTTTTGTTATCTGTTAAACAGTAGTGTCTATTTTCAAATGTTCTGAAGATAAAATGATGTCAACTATGGAAAGTGCTTACATTACACCATCCACAGAAAATGCACAATATGGCTTACTTATTTGGTGAGCACAAATGTATGACTTGCCCAAGAGTGCTAGTTTTATGTATAAATCATCAATACAGCATGTTGTGTCATGGCATTGTTCTGCATTTACAGTTTTCTCCTTTCTACTAGCCAAAAAATGTTCCCAGTGTAAAATATGTGT